CCAAACAAAATCTGATATGAAAGAAAAAAGGAGCACGTGATCTGTCAGCCTGAGATCTGAGATGAGAAACTAGAAATTACACTGTAAATGATTACATCACCTAAGGAATGCGGGTAAATATCAAAGTAAATATCAAAATGTATTATTATTATTATTTACCTGGAGGCAATTCTTGTATTAAAAAATATATCATAATTATATAATAATATAAATAAATTTTAAAGCTGTTTTAGGGTTAAAACCAAGAAGCAGCAGTTAAGAACTTTCCAAATATACCAATGCTGGTATTGGCATTGGATAAATGCTAGCATGACAGGATTGATGATACTTTGTTTCTGTCCTCGAAGTTCAGTATGTAGTCCACTGCACTTTTGGAAATGAAGAAGAAGAAGAACATCAAAAATGCACTCTGAAAAATGTCTGAGCCTTTATGTTTGACTTTGGCATCTTATTTTTTTAATTATTAAAAAAACTAAACATTTTTATAGCTAATAGCACATTTAAACAACAGAAGTTGATCAATAGAACCTTAAAGACAGCCACATTTACATTAAAAGAAAAAAAAAGTTTCAAAATAAAAAAGTTGAAAGGTGTGTTTTGTTGTGTTCATTAATTATTGTGGAAAGCAAAAATGACAGTGATTTATTGGTCATTAAAATGTGTTCAGAATTTCGAAATTGATTATGATTCATCTCACAAGTCATAACACACTGCTCCCGCTACATAAGCTGCCTTTATGGAGTAAAGGTCTCAGTATCGGTATTGGAATGGGCAATACTGACCGCGTCTTTACTTGGTGTTACATCAATACGTAACTTTGCAGCATTGTACAGCACTACCCACCTGTCGAAACTTGGGTGAAACACATCAAACTCTAAATTAGCATTGGCCACATGATGTGGGTGCTTTGGTTGGAACCACACCACCGAGCAGTGTTTCGGAGTATCTGGAGTCAAATAGTCTTATCGAAAGTCCCAAACTGAAGGTAGGAACAGACTTTTCTTGTGAAGCTGAACACAAGAGTAAGCACGGACCGCGTTTGTGACGGACAACAACAGAACAGCTAGCTGTGTGTTAGATACCTCTCATAACTTCTTAAAATTCGGCATTTAAATCGATTGTCATCAGAACCCTTGTAGTGTAAGATCCTCAGCAGACGGATAAATGTCTGATTCGTCAGGTAGGACGGATGTATGATAGTTAAATTTCGGTTAAACTTCGAGAATGTGTCGCTGTTTCTGCGTGCTAGTGTAGCTAGCTTCAAAGCTAGGTGCATTAGTTTTACGTGAAACTGTGCGGTGAGTTTGACGTGCTGTTTTATTTCTACATTTGTAGAACTTCCTAAATCAGAAAAAGAGGAGGAGGTCACTCCCGAACCAGAGGTGAGAATAGTAGTGTGTGTGAAGCAGTGAATGCTGGCAGCGAGGTGTGGTTAATGTCCGTCAGATTGACATAATCCAAACAAAACCCTCATTTGTCAGTGTCTGAGACAGGAAGAGGTGATAAAGCTGTCCAGCAATATTTCAGTGCAGTGTAGATAAATGTGATATGCTTGTAAATTTTAGTATTGTTTCCTATGCAGGAACAATCCGACGACAGCAGTGAAGACGAGGCTGCAGGAGACGCAGACAGTACGTGAACACATAGACACGGGATTTATAACTTCTGTATTTTCATTTTCACTCTTACTTTACTGCTTACATCCAGTGATTGGACTGGTTCCCAGTTGTATATATTTCTGCTGTTAGTTTGACCATTGTGCCAACCCAGCAGTATAATGTACTTCTTAGTAGCTAAATCCCAAGATATACTTTACTACTTGTGACTAAACAGTGTCAGTGTCCTCTGCATTTTCCTGCTAATCCAGTGGCTGTTTCTGAGACATGTTTTATCAGACTAGGAGCTGCCTCTTGACTTGGCTGAATGTATCGATTTCTGCCTTTATCTGATTTTCCCTGTCTTCCCATCAGTGGACTTCATGCGCAACCTCTTCTCCAGCGCGCTTGGCCTCAGTTCAGCTGAGAAAGTCCTGGATGAGCTGACTCTGGATGGAGTGGCACGATACATAAACAGCGGCAAATGTGAGTCTTTGCCCGCCTTCACTCTGCCCCCCACCGGAGTGGATCGATTTACCGCTTACGAGCCTGTTTCCACAATGCAGTTATTATTGATTGAGCCGCAAGCTTCTCTGCTTTCATGCAGGTAAAAACATCATCTGCATGGTTGGAGCAGGAATATCCACATGTGAGTATCTCTCTTTTATATCACAGAATAAGCACTTAAACTGTTTAAAGATCACCTCTTTTATTAATTATTATTATTATAATAATCATTATTATTCTTAATGAGTAACTGAACATCATTTCTCTCTACAGCTGCTGGAATCCCAGATTTTCGCTCTCCAGGAACTGGCCTGTATGCAAACCTGCAAAAATACAACCTGCCTTACCCAGAGGCTATTTTCCAGATAGATTACTTTAAGGTTTGTGAGAGATTGTTTTGGACATGCTTGAGGGGCGATAGTGGCTATAAAACTTTGCCCATTTATTACTCACTTCTTAAACAACTTTGTATTCGCTAATATTGACACAAAAAACAACATATTAATTACTGTCAGCCT